AAACCCTGAGCCATCAGATGCGACACCCGATACCCCCGACTCGCCCGGAACACTCCATACAGTTCAGGATTTTGCTACTGCTACTGCTACTACCACTACTACCACTACTACCACGACTACCACGACTACCACTACCACTACTACTACTACTACTACTACTACTACTACTAATAAGAATAAGAATAAGAATAAGAATAATAGTGATAATAGTAACAATAATAGTGATAGTAGTAATATACATAATAACAATAATAATAACAACAACAATAATAAGAATAATCACAAGCCCTTGAAGACGGAGCCCCTCACATTGACCCTGGGCAGTAGGCTCCTGGTTCGCAGGACCGTCGAACCCCTTAAGTTCTTAACGGTTCAGGATTTAGGCTTTAAGAGGCCCACTCGCTTGACGAAGTTCTTGGGCGAAAGTTTCTCGAGTCTATGCAGAAGAGCTGTCAGTTCAGGCAGCAGCTGCGGCCAAACGCCTTTTGCGTTGGTGCGGCTGCAAGTGCATGTGCCTGGGCTGAGTGGCCTGAAGCAGACAGACCGTTTAGGGTTCGGGCCTTTCGTTCTTTTAGGGTTCGGGTTCTGGGTTGAGGACTTAGTGAGTCAGGGATCGCGAGATTGCATGCTCCCCCCTATCTCTGGCATGCTCTTACTGAAGCCATCCCGGGGCCTCCGCTGCACACTACCGAGTACGTCAGCCGTAAACCCTAAACCCCTCAAGCCCTAAATCCAGAATCCTGAACCTCATACAAGTTCTCCCACCCCCAGAAGCCGTGACAGAACGCGGAATAAAACCGTATGAAGGCGTCCGCCAGCAGCTTTGGTCGCAGGTCCCGCTCCGCCTTCTTTGAGGTTTAGGGTCTCTTGGTTAGGGTTTAGGGTTTAGGGTTTAGGGTTTAGGGTTTAAGGGTTTAGGGTTTGTCATATGGTTTTCTCAATGTACAGGTTCGCTTGTGCGAGGATGGACATGAAGCTCGTAGAGGCGTACATTAAAATATTCTAAAATACTGTCAAACCCTAAACCCTAAACCCTAAACCCTAAACCCTAAGCCCTAAACCCTAAACCCTAAACCCTAAACCCTAAACCCTAAACCCTAAACCCCTGTTAAAGAGTATTATTCTAATCCGTGTACTGCACATGAGTACCTTAGTTGACGCCACCAACTGCCCAATGTCTGACTCTCCTAAGCCCCAAAGAACCTACATTTTTAAGAACTCTTAATCGGAAGTCATATTAAGGAACCCTAAAAAGGTAGGTTGTGTGGGGTCTAGGTAGACATTAAGCCCTCCACAGCCCTAGGCCGCGCCTTAAACCCGATACCTAAAGCCCTAAACCTTGAACGTATCCCTTAAGTCCTCAGTCTTAGGCCCTCTATCTTAAGCCCCACATTTTCAACACTAACTTGAGTCCGTGTTGGATACAATTTTACATTTTTGTTATAATCAAACCCAACAAAGATTAAACATGATGATTTTTAATATAGCCCCAACAGGGAGCCAGTTTTAACCCCCCGGAACGGAAAGAACAAAACCCTGAACCCTAAACCCTAAACCCTAAACCCTAAACCCTGAACCCTAACACCCGGAAGGCCTTGCGCCTCTTGCGCGACTCTCGTGAAGCGAAGATCTCGCCCACCACGGCGACATGGGCTCAACTTGCGAGGAAGCTCGCAGTTTCAGGGTTTTAGGTAGGGTTTTAGGTGGGGTTTAGGGTTCAGGGTTTATGGTTTCAGGGTTTCATGCAGGGTTTTTGGGGCTCTTCGGGTTTAGGTCTTTCGGGTTTAGGTAGGATTTGGGGTTTAGGAAGGTTCCTGGCAGTTTCCAGGTTTCGAATTAGGGGTGTTCTGTAGGGTTTCATATTTCGGGCTTTGGGCGTGGGATTTATTGCCTCGGCGGGAATTGGGCGGGCTGGGTGTCCTGCTGCGTATAGCGATAGTTCCGGAGAGCCAAGCAAAGTAGCTTGATTAGAGTGCACAGACGCAGACAAGAACCAATGGGACTCTTTGTCATTGCTGCGCTTTCGTTTCATTCAAGACGCAATAAATGCCAGACCTGTTGCCAGAAATCCTGCAACCTCCACCCCGGGGACCCCTAAACCCTGAAGATATAAATGCAGATCTAGGCGAGAATGCGGCAAGAGCTGTAGGGTTGAGGTGACCTATGGCACAGCTGCCGGGGCTTACGCCGTGGAAGGGCACTGGGTGCTGGCCTGAGACTTCTTGGATCAGCATTGCATCCATGAAACACTACCAGCTGGTTCTGCTAACTAGGTATCGTGCATGCAGAAACAGTAGGAAGATCAAATCTTGACGGACTCGCAAGCAGTCGTACTAGCAGTGCAGTGGTAGTAGTAGTAGCAGCAGTAGTAGTGGTAGTGTTGGCGGTAGCTGCTAGTGGTTTCGTCCAGTTAACAATGAACCCTATGAAGAACAATAAGTATCTGTTAAAGTAATACTCCCTAAACCCTCAACCCTAAACCCAGAACCCTAAACCCTAAACCCTGAACCCTAAACCCTAAGTCCCTGAACCCCTTAAGGGCCGTCAGGCCACAAAGCGGCAACCTGAAGCCCCAAGCCCCGAAGATGATCCTTGAAGCGAAGCCCGGAAGATTCGAAGAAGAAGGTCGTGGTTTTTGTTTTAAAATCGGGCTTAGAGGTGTGTGGGGCTTAGGTTTAAGGTTGCGGTTTAGGGTTTGCGGTTTCGGGCTTGGGCTTTAGGGTTTAGTGTGTAGGGCGTAGAGTCATCTAGTGGTGTTTTACATAAGGAAAAGCCACAGTGGGTTCGGAGTCTCAAAAGGCTACAGGGATGGCGGTTTTCGGCGGATGTTGAAAGTCAGAAAGGTGGGAGCTGGCGTTTAGGGTTTAGGGTTTAGGGTTTAGCGTTTAGGGTTTAGGGTTTAGGGTTTAGGGTTTAGGGTTTAGGATTTAGGTTTTAGGGTTTAGGGTTTAGGGTTTAGAAACTAGCTCGGAAGCCAGACTCCCAGCTTGCAAGGCTAGACCCTAAACAGCACAAGTTCTCCATTGTAGTTCCTTTTTTGGTTTGGCTAGTTGCATATTTAGGAGAGCCCCTAACATGAACTACAAGGGAGACTTCAGGTACAACCTAAGCATTAAACCCGACACCACCAGCAATCTGGAGCTCCGCCCCAAACCCTAAACCCCATGTCCCCAAACCCTTAACCCTAAACCCCTAAACCCTAAACCCCTAAACCCTAAACCCTAAACCCTAAACCCCATGTCCCCAAACCCTAAACCCTAAACCCTAAACCCC